TAACGGCTATGGAGCATTTACTAGTCCTTCTGATTTTTTACTAGTCTCGGACTAACGGACTAGCGTTAGTGTCGAACCCTGAGTAATTACAGATGAAAAAATTTCTAGGACTTGGGGAGGGAAATATTGACTGTACACACTAGTTTTTTGTTGGCATTAGCATTCCTATCTACCGATATATTTACAATGATATATATGATATATACAATGATATGCAATGATATGATATACAATGATATACAATGATATACAATGATATACAATGATATGATACAATGATATATAGAACCCCAATATGAGTTTGAATAAGCCTGCCCTTTCTGATCTCAATTATTTGCCATCCTCCTCACTTACCCACCATACACTCGCTCGTCCTATGCTATGCCCTACAGTAAGTATAATGCAAAATGACTGTATTATCTAATTAATTAAACATTCATTTATTTAATTAATATTTTTGGATGTGCACATAATAGATAATTTAAATATAAATTCCATTGAGTGGATGTACTGTATGTGCAATCCACATGTGGGATGTGAGGTTGCTGAGAAACATAACTAGTGTATTTTATCTATTTGATAGTTCAACATTGATATGTAATAGTATCCTCATTTCTCTGTGGTGGGGGCCAACCTGCAATGCATGCTAGTGCTGCTAGTGTGTTGCTGTTGCTACCTAAAATGCTAAGAGGTAATGTGCAATTAGATTATATTTGCTTATCTTTTATTACAGAAGTAAGAAACATGCCTAGCAAGTCGAAGAAGTCTAGTGGTGGTAAACTTGGTAAAGGAGAGGATTTTACTGAAATTCCATTAAATGACATTGTTGTTAAGACGGGAAATGTTAGTGCCTTGGATGACGATGTGTAAGTAGATGGATTTAGTAGTATTTTCATTCTACAACTGATACTGTTCTTAAGCTGGGTTTACACTACCGACTTTATATTGTCAAATTGGCCAATTGGGCCAACTTTCCAACTATCCAACAACCGAAAATCGGCAATGTGAACGCGAAAGTTGCGCGAGCAACTGATCGATAGCAACTAGTTGGCGAAAATAGAACATCTCTCCTCTAGTTCTACTCTCCCAACTAGTTGCTATCGACCAGTTGCTCGCATGACTTTTGCATTTACACTGCCGATTGTCGGTTGTATAATGGGAAGTTGGTCCAATTTGCCAATTTGACAACGTAAAGTCAGCAGTGTAAATGCAGCTTTACATGTAGCAAAGTGGACATGGTTGCATATAAAATTGCACTTTTATTCATTTTTCGTCTCCTCCCATATTGCCTTCAATTTACGGTATGAACTATATAATGAGACTGACAAGGCAGTCAGTAATTATTGTTACTAGTACCATCTTTATTCTTTATTATAGAATGAATGCGATACCGGATACCATCAGCATAATTTTAGTTGTCATTACACCTATGGGTGGACACTGGGAGACAGTACAATGTTAAAAAGAGCAAAAAATATGGTGCATGCATGTAGTTTAATTTGTATTCATTCTTGTATGTGAGTTTGTATTTTGCTGTAATGCTTTTGGTCTCTAGAAGGAGAAAAGAAGCCCCTATGATATTTAGATGTATCTAGATAGTTGCAAGAATAAGATAATAACCCCTTGATAGTTGTTATAAACAGGAATCTTAACCATTAAAATGGCACCATTAAATCTCTCTCTCTCTCTCTCTCTCTCTCTCTCTCTTCCTCCCTCCACGCCCGGGGGATAGCATTACCCAAGAACAAAGGACAGAGTTATAATTCGAACAAGTGAACATTTAGCTACACATAGATACCAAGATGGAAGCTGTTGTTGGTGTATTTGGGCTGTGAAGGTGTGAAATGAAGCGAGCGTCGAGCGAATGTTGCGATCACGCTTTCTTACCTGCTCTCTTATTCATGTTGTTTGTGCACAGGGCATGCGTGCGGTGTACTTGTGTACGTGTTACAGATAAGCATTTGACCGGCATTTACGGGTTATTAGCAGCAATAATATGCGAAATATAGTAGAGAAACATTAAGACTGGTAGTAAATACATTTCGTGTTTATTTACCTTTTTTTTTTTATATTGAGACGTTTCAAGTGCCTGTGACCAAGGCCAAGATTGGTTTACCACCCACCGCCCACCGCCTTACTAATCCAGTATTCATACCGTTCTGTCACTTGTTAATTTACCACATTTTTGTTGCCGGAAAGCTAACAAGCCTGAAGCAGATTGTCGTCATTCTGAGAGCCATAATTGCAATTTTAATAGCTTTCCAAACATTGAAAGTGAACAGTGTTGATGTTGTTGTGGCTCGTCAAGCTTGATTGGCCTCATCAGTGTGTCCGCTTTCTCCATGCTAAACTTATAACTTTCCATAAAATTTATCATGTTCTGGTGAAGATTGGCATTCCCTCTTGCTTGATGAAGCCTGTTCGATGCACTCGATCATCTGAGTGTGATCATTGCTTTCGGCATGTGTCATCTTCTAAGGATCCTTTTAAAGGGTTTCTTTACTCTAGGTTCTAGGGTTATTTTCAGTTAATTTAGGTTAAAATTACGCTATGTAAAACGTTTCATGGTTCAATCACCATTATAAATTTTTTTTTTTTAATGTTTTAAAACTATAACGACTACAGTTTGATTACAACGACGGTGGCGCCACTCAAAACGCACGATCTGAAAAGTTGCACAAGATGGCCTTTTAGCCAAGGGCTACAGACTGAGGGTGTTTCTTATTTATTAATTTAAAAGCAAAAGGATTGTAATATCTTATAAACGACATATATAGTTTCAGTTATATTAGGGATAAATTTGTCCTAAAATGAACATCGTTTATTAATTTAAAAGCAAAAGGATTGTAATATCTTATAAACGACATATATAGTTTCAGTTATATTAGGGATAAATTTGTCCTAAAATGAACATCGTTTGGTCAAATAGCATTTAGGTTTAAATATAATTGCATCTTTGTGATTAGCCCTCTGTCTGTAACGTGCAAAATATATTGGGAAATGCGCAACTTTTTCAGGGTGGCAGCACGGTCGCGAGTGTCAATGGCGCCGTTTAAATTTCGTAGCGTTGATGTATAATTAATGATAACAATTAAATTAGGTATCTGGTAACAAGTACGTGTGGGTATCTAGACGATTTGTTATACAGTAAGTACAGTTGTATGTAGTGAAATCCTAGAGTCTAGTATCACTTAAGTTTAGCTTCTTGGTTTTTGTCCTTTTGTATTGGAATTCTCTTCCTTCATCTTTGGTAAATTGCAAATTTGCAGATTTTTCCACTGCAATCCACAGTGTTGAACTATTGATTTGATCAACTTATCTCTATCTATTAACTTTATCAACTAAAAGTTGTTAGATGGAGACACAGAAGACTAGAGTGACTGTGTTACTTGGGCACCAGTACATTTCTGTCACGTTTTGAGTCACTTTCAATGCTGCCTTGTTTTATCGCCCTGCATTGGAATTTTCACATATTCTCGTATGTTTTACATCAAATTTTTGCCTGTTTACACACAAAAAACATCATGATGTTTTTATACATTTGAATTTTACTAGAAAATGTGCTGTCAATGTCTGTTTTAATATTTTATCAGTTACGGCTCGTGCATTATAAAATAACAACCTCAAAAACCGGTAAATGTAGAATTTGTGTGTACCACCCTACCATTGATGCAATGACAGTTTGGAAAGTTCTTCATTATGATGCACTTATAAATTTATACTTTTAAAATCAATAATTTAGCTAAACTGGAAATTAAAGTATTAATCTAGTGCTGTGTTACCTTTAGATATTTAGGTATAAATATTTTCAGTTGGTTGTGTTATGTTGATCAAAATATTCATTACAACCCCGCTCCTGGAAATATTTACGAATTTCGGTGACTGTTGTCGTACTTCATGCAACGGTACAAATATTTGTCAAT